TTATCTAATTAGCTACTGCCTGTGAGATAGGGACTCTCGCAGTGGTGAGCGCGTTGTAAACACTAGCAACTAGAGTCTTGCCTAGTGCTACTAACCTATGGCCTAGTTTCTGCTCGCTAAGGTGGCGCGCGGCTGACGAGACTGCTGCGCTTGTATTGTATAACCTAATACCAATATCCGTGAGCTTGTGCTTGAAACACCAGTGGCAGATAAAGAATACGCGGGTTGGATCTTTGAGAAGAGCGACGCGATAGCCGTGGCAATAGATCTAACTCCGCTTGTGTTAGTGCGTCGTGATAGGCTTCGTATACAGCTTAAGGCGACCCTAATCTATGCCATTATAATTGTCTTCGAGATGGGCGTCAAAAGCCTCATCTACAGCGTTGTCGGCGGCTTCAGAAGACGGAGCGAGCGTAGCTTGCTCACTGCCCTCGGCGGGCGCGACGATAGCGTCTTCGGGCTGCGACTCGCGTAATCGCGACTCGAAAGTATGTGTATATGGAGGCGGCGGAGATAGAGCAGATGGCTGAGATTGATATAACTGCGAGTCGATCGCGACGGGCTGGCTCGCAGTGCCGCGCGCGCGCTTTCTAGGCGAGGGAGCGCTATCAGAGACGCGTTTTTTGGGCGGCATGAGGGCGACGATGAGGTGAGGTATACGGCGATAGATCTGCAACACCAAAAGTATATAGTATTGTGGGTGATGGAGATGGAGATGGAGTATACTATATGAGACGACGCGCTGGCTGCTAGTTACACGGAGCTATCGGATATTACTCAATGTTACACGGCGTAACTAAAACACCAAAAAAAGCTCAGTATAGAGCTTTTACAGCTATCTAAGCTGCCTCATGGGCTGCCTCATCACCGAAATCTACTATATACTTAAGGCAATCAAGCTATCAATCTGAATCAAGCTCACGGAAAAGCTCAGCTGGATTGATTGCGTTTTTGTATGAGGTTTGGCTGGATTGATTGAATTGGCTTGGCATCAATCTTCCAATCAAGCTATCAAGCTAGCTTGATTGATCTCAGGTGTGCTAACTGGGGCCATAATGACCCTAAAACTAGAAGAGCACTCCGCCCTCGGGTTATGACCTATGTCCGTAAAGACTATAGACTTGAGTCTGAAGTCATCTTCCCAAAAATTAACCGAGACCTGCTCTGGGTTAAGGTGAACGGCTACTCAATTCTTAACGCTTACCGCTAACCTGCCAGCACTGGAGTCTTACAATACATCACTAACTGCACTCCCCCACCCTTATCTATTGTAGGGGGGGACTTCAACGCCCGCCACCCAGCCTTTGAGCCTGGCACAGACGCCCGCAACGGGGGCATTGAACTGAATCAGTGGTCAATTAACAACAACATGAGCTTCATTGGAGAGCCGGGCGAAGCCACACACCAGGCTGGGCATGTCATAGACCTTACCTTCTCGAATATCCCCTTTGCCACAACTGAAGTAGCAGAGGACCTACACTGTGGCTCTGACCACTTTACCTTACTCACCACAATCCCCGCTAGAGGGCGCCAACCTCTAGACCAATTCCACTACAGGGTGCCAACAAGACGCCTGCACCAGTTTAACGCTCTAGTTGAACTTCACCTCCAAGCACACCCAATCAGCCCTATCAACACGAAAGCAGACATTGAGTCATCTATTGCCAGCTTAGAAATGTAACGGTGTGAGGAGAGGAGGAGGACTGCGTTGCATTGTGTAGCTATGGAGGAACTGCAGCTATATAGGTGTGTGCGATGAGAAAGTGTGGTAGCGATGGCCGTACCCAACTCTCACCCAAGTCGGTCTTGGCAAGTCCCAAACCGTTACACTCCCCCCCAGCTGCCGTGATCAACAAAGCTGACTAGTGCCAGTGCCATAGCTCGGTTGGTTCTGGTGTGTTTACATGAGTAGTAAGAAGCTGGCGAACATTTTCAAGCCCTAGCTGTCTCACAAACTCGGCGTGTTTCTGCCTTACGAGGGACTTTGTGAGTCCATCTGCAGGCATCTCTGCTGTAGGGCACCACTCTACACAGAGCCTTCCTTCCTGTACCTCTTGTCTTACCCACATTTGATGGGTGTCTACATGTCTTAGCTTCGTGTGAAGCCGTTCGTCTTCTTTCTTAACGATCCCGACCGTCTGCTCGTTGTCGCAGTAGATCGTTGGTTGAATCTCCGGGTCGAACTTGATATGCTGGAAGACCTAGGTCCACCATTCCATCTCTCCTCCGGTTGCTGATAGAGCTATCAGCTCAGCCTCAGTTGTTGACTTCGTAACGGATCTCTGGCTATCAACTACTGAGGCTAACGTTGTTTTAAAGCAGCCCTTCTTTCGACGGCTCTTGAACTCTTTCGCTGCTGCTGCTTTGAATTCCTGTCCAAAAGGGTGCTTCTCTAGGTCTTTCCATCTCTTTGGCGGAGGCGGAAGCTCATCCCTGTGTAGCCGTGATTTCTGTGGCTCTGTTTGCTGGAGTGCTTTGGCGAACGCAACAAAGTACGTGCCGAGCGTCTTCCTCTGTCTTTTTCCCGTCAGAACGTTAGACTCACTAACCTGACCGCTAGTCTCCTCACGTCTTGGAGCGTTGTTCGTTCGTCGATCTGGTGCCTCTGCTTCGACTGGCATCTGCTCCCAGCCTCGCGGCATCTCGACTGTTTCCAGCTCGTCTCTCTCGACTGCTTCCGGCTCGTCTCTCTCAACTGCTTCCGGTTCGTCTCTCTCGACTGCTTCCGGTTCGTCTTTCTCGACTGCTTCCGGTTCGGGCTCGGGCTCGGGCTCAGGCCGAGTCGTCGGTCCTAGAGTGCTCTCAGGTGTTGACAACGCGTGAGACGTATCTTTGGCTTGCTCTGTTCGAGCGGCTTGCTCGGGCCAGCTTAGGCCACTCCAGTCTTCCTGCGCTGACTGCAGGAGCAATTCGATCTCCTGGTCGGTTTCCTCTACTGGTTCTGGAACGTCTAGTGTCGTCACCACCTCTCTCAGAATCTGTCGATCTGGGTAAACAGGCTCAGTCCCATCACTAGACATAAAGGCGACGTCTCTCGTCCTAAGGACTCGTCCTAATGCTGGCATCCATCTCGTGAGCAGCGGTGGAGCTGACAGTCCTGTAGCTGCTGCAGTCTGCAGCACCGCATTAACGTGTGGCTTATTGCGCGCTGGCTGTCCATCGTCTATACTAATCATGGACGAGCTCTGGACCTCAGCCTGCGGCTTTGTCTTCTTCTTAAGCCCCCGCTCTGTTGCTCTTAGTGCATTGGCCATCGAATTCGACGTAGGACTGTCTCTAAGCTCTGTGAACTTATCCTGAATTGCCTTGTCTGGCTTCCAGCCCTTTGTCCGAACTGACTGGTTAACGTACGGGCAGTTATCGAACTTGTGGTTTTCCCCATCAAGACACCTTGGTATCCATGGTCCTGAGCGTGTACGAGCTCCTTGGCTGTTGCCACTACTTGCTACCTCGAGTGTAGCAAAGGTTCCAAGTCCTGACGCGATTGGCCGTGTACGTCGGTAGTACGATCTGAACTCCGCGATCAAATCCGCGATCAGCGGAAATTCTTCATCTTTCTGTTCCTTCTTAATAAGGTCCTGTAGCTGAGTAGCTGCCCAGCTATCGTCCAGGCCTCTAATCGACAGGATAAACTCTTCCTGCGCTCTGTTGCCAGTCGTCTCTGGCATCTTGGCCTCCGTGAGGAGTCGGGTGATCGTCACCCACTCGTCAAACCATGTATCTAAGTTTGCGGTCTTTGGTCTCGTGCAGACTGCTGTGTACCGAGCTCTAAGTTGGTGGTTCCTCTCTCCAATCGATGGACAGAGGTGCTTCTTTAGCGTTCTCAGCTGGCTATAGGCGTCTGCGCAATCGAGGATTAGGTCTAGGTGTTTGACGTCAATTGTCTGCACGATCTCTAGGCTTAGGTTTCGGAGAGCCTTCTCCTTCGTGAGCCACCTAGCCTCGTCGCGATCGAATCGTCTAGCCCATGAGTTGTACGTGGCGAGCTCTGTCGCTGTCAAGTCTGGGATGTCGATCTGCTCGTCTGTAAGAGGATTTCGAAATCTCCTTACTTCGAGCTCTTTAGGTCTCTCGTCTTCTAGCATCTTCAGCCTCTCTGGCGAAAGATCTGGGTTAACGTACTCCCACAGACCATTCCGGTCTGCGGATATCTTCCTCGTGAACAGCCATTTCGACCAATCGTCTGGCTTTCGGAGGGTAACTGACGCTCTCGTCACCTGCATTTCGTGCTCTTGAGTTGCCATAACTACCTAACTAAATATGCTCCTAGTGTTGAGTGTCGTCGTATCGACAGCTTGTCTGTTAGCTGTATATCGGGTGAACGCAGCGATTTAATTAAAGGCTTCCGGGCTCATAACTGTAACGGTGTGAGGAGAGGAGGAGGACTGCGTTGCATTGTGTAGCTATGGAGGAACTGCAGCTATATAGGTGTGTGCGATGAGAAAGTGTGGTAGCGATGGCCGTACCCAACTCTCACCCAAGTCGGTCTTGGCAAGTCCCAAACCGTTACAAGAAAGAACCCTATGGGCCGCGCTCAAGGGCGCTGGCACACCAGACAGGGCAAAAGGTCACTCAGCACCATGGTGGACAGAAGATTGCGTAGAAGCCCACAGCCGGCACCGGGCTGCCAGGAACTTAGCAGAACCAGGGACGGTCCCAATCGAAACCAGGGAGTTCCTTGCCGTCGTGCGGAAAGCGAAGAAGGAGTACTGGGCGAACCGGATTAACAATATCACTACAGATGAGGAGTTATATAGCCTGCTAGGTTGGCATAAACTTACCCCAGGACAGCAGGACATCCCACTTATCGTGAACAACCAAACCATCTCAGACCCACTAGAAAAAGCCGAAGCCCTGCGGGTGGAAATCCTGGACCGGTTCAGCGCTGAGGACGACCTGCCGGAGCCAGTATGGCCTACCGAAACACCGGCGGGTACACTGCCATGGGACACCCACATCCCTATGGAAGAAGTCGAGAGAAGCACTATTGGGGTGTCCAGCACCTCGCCAGGCACCGATAGAATCACCGTCCGGCTTCTCAAGACCTGCTGGGCTCAGGTCAGGACCCACATCCGCTCCATCTTTCAGAAGTGCCTTGAGCTCTGCTACTTCCCCACAGCCTGGAAAACGGCCGAAGTCGCCATGATACCAAAGGTCGGCAAGAAGGACCGCACCTCCCCAAGATCCATGCGCCCAATAGCCCTCCTATCCTGCCTAGGCAAAGGACTTGAACGGGTTGTAGCAAGACGGCTGGCCTGGACCGCAATGACTCACGAGATACTCAGCCCCCAGCATGTAGGCGCGCTCCCGAAACGCTCTGCAATGGACCTGCTGGCCTCCTTCACACACGATACACAAAGAGCTTGGGCATTGGGCAAGAAGGTGACTATGGTTACTATGGACGTTCAAGGAGCCTTTGACGCACTTCTTAAGAACCGGCTACTCGTCCGCATGGCAAAGCAGGGCTGGCCAGACCTAGTGCTCAAATTTGTCAACAGTTTCCTCACAGATCGCAAAGTCAGGGTTAGATTAGGCAAGGCAACCACCCAGTGCTACACCGTGGCCTGCGGAACACCCCAAGGATCACCACTGTCCCCAGTCCTCTACACACTATACCTAGCAGAGCATCTAAACCAGGACACAACCCGCCGCTTCGGGTATGCTGACGACGTCTGCATATACCGGGCCTCGAACTCTCTGGATGAAAACGTTCGCCTGCTGGCAGAAGATGTCAGAGCTATCAACGAGTGGGGTGCAGCAAACAAGGTTGCCTTCGCACCAGAAAAGTTGGAAATGATGCACCTCACTAGGCAATGGGATAACTATTCCCCGCCCTGTGTTGTGGACGACTCCCTCACCATTACACCAATTACAGATCAGGACGACGGAGTCCAACCCGCCTGCCGATGGCTGGGGGTCTGGTTTGATCGAAAGCTCAACTTCAAAAGACACGTTGAAACGAGAGCAGCGACAGCCCGCAAAGTTGCCCATCACATCCGTAGTCTTGCCAACACAGTTAATGGCCCCCCAGCCTCAGCCCTCCGCAAAGCAGTCACTACCTGCATAATGCCATGTCTCCTCTACGGAGCAGAAGCATGGTTTGAAGGCCGCACCAAGAACCCTCTGACCAACCGATCGGACCAACCGCCCGTAGTCAGCACTAGGATTAGCTGGCACCTCAAAGCCCTCAACCAGACACTCACCATCGCGGCTCGCGCTATCCTCCCTGCCTGGAAAACCTATCCAGGATGGGCACTCTTTCGAGACGCCGGCTTACCATCAGCACTCATTATGCTAGAAGAAGCAAAGCTGAGATTCGCTCTGCATCTGCAAGTAGTCGATAAGAACCACCCACTTACAGCCAGGATCAAGATCTCGGTGATACCGAAGGGCAGGGGAGCTGGAGGTTTGCAGAAGCCACACTCCAAAGTCCAGCGACTTGGGTTGATTCTTCCTACCATTCCCAGACACACCCTCATAGCGCCGCACTACTCTCTAGGGTGCCGCACTGACCCAACAAACGGTATAGCCAAGGCTGAGGCCGCCAAATTATTTACGAAGTGGTGGGACACCTGTCGGATCGTGAGTATCGGTAGAGACGTCGGCTGCTGGACACTTCGGCCCGACTTCGGCCCACCTTGCGCAGAGCTTAGGTATACCTTCGTAGCAGCTATGTTCGTAGACAATCAATCACCATCACCGAACAGAATGCATTCCTAGTTATCGTTATTTCCTTTCAGCACTAGTGCTATAGACCTTCCAACAACACCCTTACTAACCAGGACGTCACCATCTTCTCTGATGGATCAGAACAGCGCACTGACGGCGAACGCTTCGTCACCTACGGCTACGCGATATACCAGGCCCAGACTCAGATTGCCATAGGGAGGGGATCGCTTAATCCCCAATCCCATGTATTCGATGCCGAAGCAGTGGGTGCTTGGAGAGGTCTCCAGCACGCCATCAGACTAGCCCCCCATGGCCACCGCAGGCTATGGATGTGTATTGACTCAACGTCAGTTATCTGGGGTATACGGGGCAACGCCCCCACATCGTCGCAATGGGCATTCCTTGAGTGCCAGGCAGCAATGGCAGTCTTTAACATACAAGTACGCTGGTCGCCAGGCCACACCGGGATTATTGGGAATGAGGCAGCAGACCGCCTTGCCGATGCCGAAGCAAAAGCACCCAGCCAGCCTTACGGCATGGCCGCGGAACCGACAGCATCTGGGGTGCGTTCAATCGCTAAGTCCTTGCTCAACGCTGCCAGGCAGCGCTGGTGGGACTAAACTCGGACCCAAATGTCGGCCTGGTACCGGCAATGGGAACTACCCTACCAAACCACAAAGACACCAATCGAACTGACGCTTCCGCGCCCTGTTCTCGCGCATCTGCTGGCCATCCGGTCACGACATGGGGACTTTGCATGGTACCACATCAAATTCAGACACGACACAGCAGAATTGAATTGTTCTTGCGGGCGACTCAAAACACCTGAGCACATGCTCTTCTGCAGAAAGACAAGACGCTCTTTTAGCAGATGGCCGCTCCGACCATCCAGCCCCCCAAGCAATATGAAAGAGGCCGTCAGGTACCTTAAGGCTCTACTCACTGAGCCTGAACACTTCGAGTCACTTTTGGAGCTCACCAAGTACTTCACAACAATCTGCCGGCGATAATTTTAGTTTCGGCATTACAAAACACAGTACTAGGCGGCCTTTAGCCGCTTATGTCTATGTCATCAGTCCCTCGCTCATTTACCACCTCTACACCTCCTCCCCCAGCTTCAACGCTAACGCCCTAGGCCTACTAGCCCTAGAACAAGAGCTCTGCTTTATTGCTCAACACATCCACAGCCCCACAGCCCGGAACCTAGATAGAGTCTTTTCAACTGGCGGAAATTACCCTACCAGACTGCACACACTGCCAACACCCAAAGAATAGGAGCACCTGAGTACCATACAGGGCGCTACCCGTCTTTCATGCCCCCTGGGAGGCTTTCATAGGACGTTAAACAATACATACATACATACACAATACCACCTCAGTTCAATCCTTCAATTCTTGCAGCACCCACTATCCCCGAGAGAATCAGTGCAACATGGGAACAAGAAAGATAGGTAGGTACGATAAATTTAGTTTGGATTTTGGACAACAGGTGAATGGAGTTCAGGTGCAATTGGAGACCGTTTCGAATTGTGTTGAGAGAAAGAAAAAGGCAAGAAAAACATTAGAGCTACCCAATGACCGACAGTCGTTCAGGTGGGGAAATCAAACCTTTGGAAGAGGGGCCGACAACAGCATAATAGTGGAGAATGAAGAAGGGATATTAATCATCGCGAATGGTGTCTCTGAGCACCTATCAAGCCTGGTGCTGAAGGATGTAATACAGAAAATGAGCAAAGAAAGCAAATAAGTCACACCAACTCAATTATGGGATGGAGGCCTCTCAGAAGCGACAAATAATCCCACTGGAGTTCCGATCGAGTTCATATCGATATTAGCAAAGTCATCGAATAGCTATCAGAGCGACATGTTGATGCAGGCAAATGGGATGCACAAAAGAAAAAGTCAAAAAGTCCAACCCGTAGACGGTTTGGGTCGAAAACCAGAAGATATTGAAGCGCATTTAGGCTAGGAAGAAAGGGCAAGGTACTATTAGTAAATAGCTGCGCGCATTAACTACCTTTCGAGCACTTACAGTAATGTACTTGATACTTTTGGCGCTATTTCACGTTCTGAGCATGTGTAAGCGAGTTAATACTTTGATTAGAAGTCAACATGTAATAATGTTTGTGTCAGATAACAAAAAGGCCGACCTTCTTGCTACAATAGCATGAAGGTATATATAGTTGATGGTCTGACAGTTTGGTGGTATGGTTGTTCTTAATAGCACTATTATAAATGATCATGTCGTTCACATGTTGAGTATCTGTCCCAATGTCGCAGCGCAAACAGTGAACAAAATTACCTTGAATTTTTATCTCAGAAACTGTTGTACGTTTTATCCAAGCTGCATTATTGTACTGATTAAATTTAGTTTCCATGCGCGTAAATGCCCTGGGAACTACTGAATGTATAATTGACAGAGGATAGTGACTATGTGTGGTTGTGATTAACCGGATGAATGATCCTGTGTGCTAATGCACGCAACGAAGGGTTATGAAAGATATCGACGAAAGTGCAGTGAATGGCCTCCTGACGCGCCTCGGCCACCAGCCTCATGGCCGCAATCGAGTCGCCGCCTAGGCGAAAGAAACTGTCGTCCAGCCCAATGCTGTCGGCGTCGATGTCGAGCACCCGCGCCCACAGTTTCTGCAGCGCCCTCTCCTGCTCTGTCGACGGCTGCCGCTTCGGTCCCTGGCTTCGTGTGAGTAGCTCTGCCAGCTGTTGAGCTGAGAACGCGGACCCGATCTCGCGCAGCCGCTTGCGGTCCGTCTTGCCCGACGTTGTCATGGGAAGCTGCGCGACCGCAAAGTAGACTCCGGGTACCATGTAGCTAGGCAGCCGCTGGCTGAGCTGGCTGTCCACCTGGGAGGGGAAGAAAACCCGTGCAGAGGAGCCGTCTCCAGCGGAAGCCTCTTCCTCTTTCTGTTGCACAAAGACGGCCACAGTCGCCTTGTCTTTGTCGTTTCCTGGCATGATTACTTCTGCTGCCATACGCTCCACTTCCGGCATGCACTCGCGCACATGATGCTCAATCTCCCCCAACTCCACCCGCTGCCCGCGCACCTTGACCTGCACGTCCTTGCGTCCCACATACACCAGGTTGCCGTCTGCATCGTAGTGTACTAGGTCGCCGGTCTTGTACAGCCTCCCGTGTCGGCCTACGTGCTCTCCAGAGCCCTCCAACAGCCAGGTCGGGTCTTGGATGAAGGCGGCCGCCGTCTTCTCTGCGTCGCCCAGGTATCCACGCGCCAGGATCGGCCCTTCGACGAGCAGCTCGCCAACCGACCCGAGCGGGGCAAGCTTGTTGTGGTCGTTTGGATCCACTACCCAGCTGACCGACCCGATCGCCTTACCAATTAAACCTGTGTAGAAGCCTTCTAGACCGGAAAAAGAGTTACATATCACACTACACTCGGTAGGTCCATAAGCGTTAACCCGATTTTCAAGATGACTCCACTTTTCCCAGTCAATACTGTTTACCTGCTCACCCCCAAACACTAAGGTTCTAAGCGATGAAACTGTTTTTGGGTCAAGTGTTCGTGCAACCGTTGGCGTAAGCAATGCCCAGCTTACTCCTAAGGCATTTGAAGTATTCGATAAGTCGTTGCGTCTATCCAACTCAGAGGGAATGCAAATACATGCGCCAAATAAGAGAGTTGTAATAATCTCCGTAATACACGCGTCAAAGGTGTAAGCGGCAAACTGAAGGCTTCGAGTGCTAGACGAGAAGCCAAACGCCTCTCCATGGGTGAGACAGCTTGTCGAAATTGCTCTGTGTTCTAAGACGACTCCCTTGGGTGTTCCTGTGCTGCCTGAAGTGAACATGACGTACGCAATATTACTTGGCCTTGCTATCGCGTTGGTCTTGTCGCTTGCGCTTGTCAATCCATCTAAAGAGGCCCTACTAACCACCACGACAATGCGGTTGTTACCGTTGCAAAGCGTCGCGTGCTGGTCTGAGGCTAGCACTACCCTGGCCTTAGTCTGACGGAAGACCTCATCGTGCCGGCTGGCTGGGTAATCGGGATCAAGGGGTGCGAACGCGCCGCCAGCCTTGAGCACAGCGAGCATAGCTACCACTGTCCACATTGACTTCTCAAAGCAGAGAGGAACAACGTCTTCCACCTCTACCCCCACCTTAACAAGATGCCTAGCTAGTCGGCTTGATAGCTCGTCCAGCTCGCCATATGTCATTTCGCCGTCCCACGCACAGATGGCCGGCGCCTGAGGCTGTTCTTTTGCCTGGTCTGCAAACAGCTCGTGCACGCACCGCTCCACAGCTGTGGGTATATCGCTGTTCCATGTCCACAGCTGGCGCTTTTGTGCATCTCCTAGGATGCCTAGACCACCCAGCATAGAGTGCGGCCTTCCTACTATGCTAAGGATTGCTTTACTGAAGCTGTCTGCTACGTTCTTTGCTTGTGATCCGCTCATGCAACGGGTCTTATATTGCATCTCAATTTCCATCGTCAACCGGTTATATGCGACACCGATATTAACATCATACTAGAGAAAGCGCGTTAGCTAGACAGTTAGACCACTGCTTGTCCGTCAATTTACCTCTGTAGGATCCGCTCCCTCCTCTATGTGGAAAATAACCCCAGTAGTGCCAACTGCCACTGCGTCGTCAATCCGCTGGAGCGATAGCACTGTGTTAAATAAAGCGCCTGCTCCAAGCCCAAGCATGCTATGTACGCGAGCGAGCGAGAAGCCCTGATGTGGCAAGCTGCTGGTGTAGTCGTGCTGCACTGCTCTTAGGACATCTAGCACAGTCTGCTCGTTGCCTAGATAAACCCTGCATGGGAGTATAGTGATGAGCGGGCCAAAGATCTTGTCTACCTCCGCAATCGGAAAGTCTCGTCCTGAGGAGAGCATGCCAAAGCACGGGGTCATTGATCGGGTGTATTGGCCTAACACCAAAGCCCATGCTGTCTGGATGATGGTAGCTGGCGTGACGTCCCATGTATGACAGAATGCATGGATGATGCTCACGTCAATTTCAGGAACGTGTACTGTTCTACCCCTACAATCCCCGTCGTCGGCGTTTGCTATTGAGGGAAATGCACATGGCTCAACCCCGTCCAGATATTTCGCCCAGTAAGCGCGCGCTGTATCCTCTTCCTGCTGGGCTAGATACGAGACAACGTCTTTAAACAGTGCACTATCTGGATTAAGCTTAGCACTGTATGCCGTCTGCAGATCGCGTAAGACGATGCCCCGAGAGTGAGCATCAAAGATAGCGTGGTTAATGTCTAGGCAGAGGTAGACCTTTCCATTGTCAAGCTGGCAGATGGACATGTGATGCTGTAGGCCACTCTCTTGCTGGACTAACGTGCTCTGCTGTCCTGACATGCTTCGGTGATTGCGGAACACTTCAAGAGTAACTGTGTCGCCTGCTGCTTGGAAGAACGAGATGCTCGGCTGTGGATCTTTCAGCACCACATTCATGGTTCCCGCACACCCAGGCACATTATTGACGAGCAGTGTCCGTAGGAGCGAGTGCCGCCGAACAACATCCTTCCACGCTTGCTGCAGCTGAATGCAGCTGACCTGGCTGTGCTGAGTCGATACTGCTTCAAAGACAAGCGACACCCAGTATGCATCTGAATCCTTGCTCTGACTAACAAGGATGCCTTCCTGCATAGGTGAGCATGGAAAGACGTCCTCAACTTCTCTGGGCTGAATATGAAGCCCTGCAAGCGTATCTTTCTGGAAGCGATCCAGATCCTGGTAGGTCTGGAAGGCTAGTGGTAAGTCACTTAGCGTCCATTCTGGATGCCGCTTTTGAAGAATGGCAGCCATTTCCACCAAAGCCACCTCGTACTGCTCAATCCAGCTAGCTATCTGCTGCTGGTGCTTTACTCTACTGTCGCTTATAACAGCTACATGTATGCAGCCTCTGTCGATAACCACAGACACATCAATTAAAGCGAACCGCGGCGTCTCTAACAAGGATGCTGGCTCGCAACCGTCCGGAATTAGCAGATTCTTAAACAGCGAATCGTTGCGCTCAAGTTGCTGGTATGCGCCTTGGTAGTTAAACATTACCTCTACTGGGAACATAGATGCGAATGTATTGGCAGTATCGTTATCTGTGAACTGTGAAGCAAAGTATGACCTGCCATTGTCGTTAAACTGGCGCATGCTGTCTTTGGTATGGCGGATGACATTGAGCATATTATGCCTAGTATAGTTTGGCACTTGAACTGGGAACATGCTTGTAAACCATCCCACAGTTCGCGAAAGATCAATGCCGCTGTCCCAAGTCTCGCGACCGTGGCTCTCGTTGAAGATAGTAGGCAGGGCTCGGTCCGGGAAGGCAGCAGCAAAGGAGTGAATTAGAGCAGAAAGAATTAGCTCTACAGGACGTGTTTGGAATGCGTTGTTGCAGGATCCAAGAATGGCAGAGGTTGTACACTTATCAAGTGCAAAGCCCTTTGATACTGTACTTCTGTGTAAGATAGTCCCGGGCTGTACGCCCCAGTAGGAGAGTATTAGCTGTTTAGAATCCATCTCAGCTTGGATTATGCCACCAGAACACCCGTGCGTGTTAGCGTGTTTAGCTTGGAGAGCCTGCCAGGCCTGAAAGGGAATAGGAGGCGCAGCAGGAAGCTCCCGCGAAATGAGCAGGTCCTCCAGCTCTTCAAGAAGCACTCGCCACGAGACTAGATCAATTACTAGATGGTGAACGGTGATAAATAGTAATTGGCGCTGGTCCTCATCAAACAAGGCTGCTGCTAAGATTGGTCCTTTCTGAATGTCTAGCTGGCTCCGACTCTGAAGCATAGCGCGTAAAAAGTCATCTTGATCCGTGGATTGCACGTACTCGATGGTGAAGGAGTCGTCAGCGCGATCGCAAATGTGCTGCTGCCACCCACCTCCAGTTCTTTGGCTAAATTGAGCTCGTAGGATAGAGTGCCGTTGAACAAGGGTTTTAAACGCTATACGCAACGATTCCATGTTTACTGAGCTACTAACTTCCAGTAAAAAGCATTGATCAAAGCAAGCTCTACCGCTACTCTCTAGCCGGAAGTACAGCTCCTGGATTGGCGTTAGGCCAAAGCCCCTGTTTACTGGATCCTGGATGACTAGTTGAGAAGGAGCAGGCTTTAATGATATATGGCGAACTAAACGGCCAATGGTTTTGTGCTGGAGAATATCGTGAGTCGAGATAGAGATGTGAGCCGCACGAGCGCTCGAAGAGACCTGCATAGCTGTGATAGAGTCGCCGCCTAGGCGGAAGAAACTGTCGTCCAGCCCAATGCTGTCGGCGTCGATGTCGAGAACCCGCGCCCACAGTTTCTGCAGCGCCCTCTCCTGCTCTGTCGACGGCTGCCGCTTCGGTCCCTGGCTTCGTGTGAGTAGCTCTGCCAGCTGTTGAGCTGAGAACGCGGACCCGATCTCGCGCAGCCGCTTGCGGTCCGTCTTGCCCGACGTTGTCATGGGAAGCTGCGCGACCGCAAAGTAGACTCCGGGTACCATGTAGCTAGGCAGCCGCTGGCTGAGCTGGCTGTCCACCTGGGAGGGGAAGAAAACCCGTGCAGAGGAGCCGTCTCCAGCGGAAGCCTCTTCCTCTTTCTGTTGCACAAAGACGGCCACAGTCGCCTTGTCTTTGTCGTTTCCTGGCATGATTACTTCTGCTGCCATACGCTCCACTTCCGGCATGCACTCGCGCACATGATGCTCAATCTCCCCCAACTCCACCCGCTGCCCGCGCACCTTGACCTGCACGTCCTTGCGTCCCACATACACCAGGTTGCCGTCTGCATCGTAGTGTACTAGGTCGCCGGTCTTGTACAGCCTCCCGTGTCGGCCTACGTGCTCTCCAGAGCCCTCCAACAGCCAGGTCGGGTCTTGGATGAAGGCGGCCGCCGTCTTCTCTGCGTCGCCCAGGTATCCACGCGCCAGGATCGGCCCTTCGACGAGCAGCTCGCCAACCGACCCGAGCGGGGCAAGCTTGTTGTGGTCGTTTGAATCCACTACCCAACCCATAGAAGCAATTAGCCTTCCAATCGTTCCTGACGTGAAACCAGCGGCATTAGAGTGTGATGTGCACCAAACGCTGCACTCTGTAGGACCATACGTATTGATCTGCTTTTCAAGATGACTCCACCTTTCCCAGTCAATACTGTTTACCTGCTCACCCCCAAGCACTAAGGTTCTAAGCGATGAAACTGTTTTTGGGTCAAGTGTTCGTGCAACCGTTGGCGTAAGCAATGCCCAGCTTACTCCTAAGGCATTTGAAGTATTCGATAAGTCGTTGCGTCTATCCAACTCAGAGGGAATGCAAATACATGCGCCAAATAAGAGAGTTGTAATAATCTCCGTAATACACGCGTCAAAGGTGTAAGCGGCAAACTGAAGGCTTCGAGTGCTAGACGAGAAGCCAAACGCCTCTCCATGGGTGAGACAGCTTGTCGAAATTGCTCTGTGTTCTAAGACGACTCCCTTGGGTGTTCCTGTGCTGCCTGAAGTGAACATGACGTACGCAATATTACTTGGCCTTGCTATCGCGTTGGTCTTGTCGCTTGCGCTTGTCAATCCATCTAAAGAGGCCCTACTAACCACCACGACAATGCGGTTGTTACCGTTGCAAAGCGTCGCGTGCTGGTCTGAGGCTAGCACTACCCTGGCCTTAGTCTGACGGAAGACCTCATCGTGCCGGCTGGCTGGGTAATCGGGATCAAGGGGTGCGAACGCGCCGCCAGCCTTGAGCACAGCGAGCATAGCTACCACTGTCCACATTGACTTCTCAAAGCAGAGAGGAACAACGTCTTCCACCTCTACCCCCACCTTAACAAGATGCCTAGCTAGTCGGCTTGATAGCTCGTCCAGCTCGCCATATGTCATTTCGCCGTCCCACGCACAGATGGCCGGCGCCTGAGGCTGTTCTTTTGCCTGGTCTGCAAACAGCTCGTGCACGCACCGCTCCACAGCTGTGGGTATATCGCTGTTCAAGTGCCATATTTCTCTTAAACTCGAGCTATCGGTCATAGCAGAATGTTGTCTGGAGTCCGGTACTGATATAGTTGATTCCTGTTTTTGGTAAAATTTTGTTTTTGTTAGGATTTTCTTTTGCTACTCCCCCTAACATGGCATGTTGCAAACTCTATATAATTATGAATCTATTGAGCGTTTCCGTAGTCTTGGTATTTGTAAGTCTGTGTGGTTTTTGCTAATTCCGAAAGTCATTCAGATCGTTGTAACCGAGTTATGTTTTCCGCGGTCCGAACCGTTCCGAAGCATCTGTTTAGGTTGGTACGTAACTACCGTGTCCGTGCGCGCAATGCGCGGATCGGAGCAATGCGCAACCCCAACAACACGAAAAGTCGAACAAAATTGATGAAGGTGGAGAAACGTGTGTGAACTGTTGTATTGGAGCTACGGGAGGAGGGAGATATCTATGGTGCGCGCACGGAGCAGCTGACTAATCAGTGCCTGGCCAATCAGAGCACGGGAAGCCTGATTCACCGTGAATACTAGTGAAGGCTCTCACCGCGTCTCGACAAAAATGAGGCTGTAGAGCCACCCACAAAAGCTATTATCACAATAATTTGTGGTGCTGTAGTAATTGGATGCTTGTGATCAACTTGTGCTACTTGTATTTACTCGGTAACTTGATGTTCCGGCCGCTGCAGGTAGTTACTGGTGTAGGTGCTGGTTGATGTTGATGTTGATTGTGGTTTAACGCCCTATCTGTAACCTCCCATAGGGTATTCGGGCGGGTCCCGCCGTGGTCTTATAGTGTTGTCGCACTTGCCTCGTGGAACCTATTCCTAGGTGTTTTGTATCTAAGGGGAGTGATGTCCTGCCTATATACATGTTCGTGAAAAGGACTCCCGCCATTTGAAGCCGTTTTCCTACAATATTCTAGTATTTCGTGGCTTGCACCTTTGATCGATGCAGTACAGTAACTGCTTTTTAGAGAGAGAAACGAAAAAGTAACAAGAGGCAATTTGAGATATAATAAAAGGTTTGAGAGAGAGCGTGTGGGTTGTGGCATCTTGTCAGATATTCGCTCTCATCTGGAATACTGATGAAATAGGTAATAATGGTGATGATGTTGATGATTGATTGTGTGTTGGTTCTGTCTACGGTTGTGGGCACACCTGGGGGGGTGCCAAGCCTTCCTGTGATCCGATTGGCTCTCACAGATGCCAGGTCGCGCTAGTCTAACCCAGCGTCTGTACGCTCTCATCTTCAACAGTGCTATTATTTGACACATCTATGCGGCGTTTTGCCGCGAATCCTACACTGAACAATGCCAAGGAATTCAGCGGGTCTTAGTGAAATTCAAAAATAGAAATCACTCGTCATAGAAGGAGTTCGTTACCTTCACGAAGGTCTCGAACTCTTGTGGCTGGTCTATTAATTGCGCGAGGTACGCTAGGCCTTCCTGTCTTGTGCGAGGGGGCACGATGGGGCGTAGAGGCCACTTCTTGAAGTGTGTTGTGGCTCTCTTGCAGAACACTAGGTGTTCTGGCGTCTTGGGCCTACCGCATGGGCATTCTGAGGTATCCTCGTGGTTGAATTTTCGGTGGTACCATTCAAAGTCGCCATGCGTTGAGCGTATCATAAGGACTTTCGCGAGTACCCTTCGGGGCAGCCATAGCGCTGCGGGCGTGCGCCTAGTATCGTATGGCAGCTGCCATTGCGTGTACCATGCTGATAGCCTACTGCTCTTATCCTTCCACCAAGTGTCCCTTATGTGTTCGAGGAGGCGGCGGCCTACTGTTCGTATACCGGATCTTGTGGGGGAGGCGGCCATGCCGTATGGCTGGTGCGGGTCTTTGGCCTCGTTGTCAGCCAGCTGGTCGGCGAGCTCGTTTCCAACAATCTTCATGTGTCCCGGCGCCCACCGCGTTTTCACGTTGTAGGCCTCCATAGCTCCATGAATTTGGAGGAACGCCCATTGGGAGGAGGTAGGGGCGGCTCCGCGTATGCCCCATATTACCGAAGTGCTGTCTATGCAGAGTACAATCTCCCTCTGGCTAGGCAGTGAGAGTTGTAGTGCGTGTTTGAGTCCTCTGCACGCGCCTATAGCCTCCGCATCGAAGACGTGGCTAAGGGCATTTAGTGAGCCTTGTCCAGTCGCCACGGCGGCCTGGCCCTGGTATATAGCGTACCCGTAAGTGACCACCCTTGTACCGTTGATTTGTTGTTCAGACCCGTCTGAGAAGACAGTGATTGTCTCTTGTCCAAGAGACTCCCACCAGATGGTGAAATTCTGGGCAGCAATGTCCTTTCCTTGCCCTTGCGTTGGATCCTGCCTCGACCCGTCTGAAAAGTGAGGGCTGGCTAGGACGTTTCGGGGTGTGGCGGGTAGCAGTTGTGCTACGCGCTGAACCTTCGATCTTGGTATCCGTCGGTTGCCCGCTGCGCGTCCTCGTATGACTAGTGGCAGTGTAGTTCTATTAGTAAGTGGGTGCTTGTCGTCTATTGTGCGTAGGTGAACTGCAAAGCGGAGCTTGGCCTCCTCTAGCGCCACCTGTGCCGACGGCATCGCAGCTTCTCTTAGCAGTACTGCGTTTGGTGTTGTCCTCCACGCAGGGAGGATTGCCTTCGTGGCTGCTACTAGTGCCTGATCTATCGTGGTTAGGTGCCAGCCTACCCTAGTGCTGACCGTGGGTTTACGGGAAACCCTTGCAATTCGTGGGTTCTTAGTCCTGCCCTCGTACCATGTTTCGGCTCCGTATAGTAGTATGGGCAGGATACATGTTATGGCTGCCTTGCGTAGCGATCCTGCTGGAGGGCCGTGGGCTGTGTTGGCGAGGCTCCGGAGATGGTTCGCTACTTTCCTGGCTTGCGCCGCCCTTTCTGCGACGTGCTTCTTGAAAGTTAGTCTCCTATCAAACCGTGTAGGTGCTGGTGCAGCCTCTGATGACTCCCCCACCTCTGTAGCATTAACAACACGTTTTTGACGCTTGTTACTTTTACTAGAGCTTTGTGAAGTCTTGCGCTTACTACTTTGGGCTTGTTGGATGGCTTTTTTGGAGTCGCGATCAGCTTTTTGGCGCGCCCGTTCAGCTGTCTTTTCAACCTGCTCCTTCTCCTTTACTGCCTTCTTCTTCTCTCGCTCTACGCGCTTCTCCTGAGTTACCCGGAGTTTGTCTAACCTAGTCTGCTCTCTCAACTCAGATCTATGAGCTTTTTGGAGTTGTAATTGATCCTTTTCACGATCTTGTTCAACCCTACGCTCCTTGGCTTGGCGAAGTTTCCTTGGCGACCAGAAAACAGCTCCTCCGTGATCGTCATCCTGATTATTTTGGAGATCAAAGGGGTGGCTCTGCTTGTTTTGCTTCTTTTTTGTAACTAGGGCATTCTTGAGCCCCTTGATCTCATGCCGGAGTAACTCATTTTGGGTTGAGGTATGATGAAGTGACCTGTTGAGTTTCTTTATCTCCTTACTTCTCTCATCCCTTGTTGTTTGACGGATCAGTGACTTGATTTTGAGCTAATCTGACCCGCTAAGTACTGATGTTGAGCTCTCATCCGAGCTTGATAGCTCAGGGGTATCGCGGCTGAATCTTTTGAGTATAGGCGTTGGATCAGGTAGCCAGATCCCTGTGGCGGTGAAGGACTTTTGGATGGTGTTTTTCTTGAAGGATGACATCCAGGCGTTCTAAAAAAAAGGAAAGAACTCTCCTTTTTTAACTGATAGCAGCCCCTGGCTGTTGTGAAGGTAGTTGGATAACGCCTTTGAGTAAGCAGTTGAAAGCGGTTTGAAAATTACAACATCCAGGGGCTGAAGGGTATGGGTTGATTGAGGGGGAAAGATTGTAACGGTTTGGGCCTTGCCAAGACCGACTTGGGTGAGAGTTGGGTACGGCTATCGCTACCACACTTTCTCATCACACACACCTATATAGCTGCAGTTCCTCCATAGCTACACAATGCAACGCAGTCCTCATCCTCTCCTCACCCCGTTACAGTTATGAGCCCGGAAGCCTTTAATTAAATCGCTGCGTTCACCCGATATACAGCTAACAGACAACCTGTCGATACGACGACACTCAACACTAGGAGCATATTTAGCTAGGTAGTTATGGCAACTCAAGAGCATGAAATGCAGGTGGCTAGAGCGTCAGTTACCCTCCGAAAGCCAGAAGATTGGTCGAAATGGCTGTTCACGAGGAAGATATCCGCAGACCGGAATGGTCTGTGGGAGTACGTTAACCCAGATCTTTCGCCAGAGAGGCTGAAGATGCTGGAAGACGAGAGACCTAAAGAGCTTGAAGTGGGGAGATTTCGAAATCCTCTTACAGAAGAGCAGATCAACATCCCAGACTTAACAGCGACAGAGCTCGCTACGTATAACTCATGGGCTAGACGATTCGATCGCGACGAGGCCATGTGGCTCACGAAGGAGAAGGCTTTCTGAAACCTGAGCCTAGAGATCGTGCAGACAATTGACGTCAAACACCTAGACCTAATCCTCGATTGCGCAGACGCCTATAGCCAGCTGAGAACGCTAAAGAAGCACCTCTGTCCATCGATTGGAGAGAGAAACCACCAACTCAGAGCTCGGTACACAGTAGTCTGCACGAGACCAAAGACCGCAAACTTAGATACATGGTTTGACGAGTGGGTGACAATCACCCGACTCCTCACGGAGGCCAAGATGCCAGAGACGACTGGCAATAGAGCGCAGGAAGAGTTGTCAGCCTGGCACCTCGGTTCACCTAGTACACTGTGAACTGTATCTCACGTGACTCCTCGTCACCTGCTTACTCATCTTAGTTTTGTATATAATCGCTTCATGTAGTTCTCTCAATACAACAACCTTCTTCCTCACGTCTGCTTGGTCCTCCCATATCTAACAAGAGTTTATCCTGTCAATCAGAGGCCTAGATGATAGCTGGGCAGCTACTCAGCTACAAGACCTTATTAAGAAGGAACAGAAGGATGAAGAATTTCCGCTGATCGCGGATTTGATCGCGGAGTTCAGATCGTACTACCGACGTACACGTCCAATCGCGTCAGGATTTGGAACCTTTGCTACACTCGAGGTAGCAAGTAGTGGCAACAGCCAAGGAGCTCGTACACGCTCAGGACCATGGATAACAAGGTGTCTTGATGGGGAAAACCACAAGTTCGATAACTGCCTGTACGTTAACCAGTCAGTTCGGACAAAGGACTGGAAGCTAGACAAGGCAATTCAGGATAAGTTCACAGAGCTTAGAGACAGTCCTACGTCGAATTCGATGGCCAATGCACTAAGAGCAACAGAGCGGGGGCTTAAGAAGAAGACGAAGCCGCAGGCTGAGGTCCAGAGCTCGTCCATGATTAGTATGGACGATGGACAGACAGCGCGCGATAAGCCACACGTTAATGCGGTGCTGCAAACTGCTGCAGCCACAGGACTATTAGCTCCACCACTGCTCACGAGATGGATACTTGATCCAGGTTCGAACTGCCACGTCACGAATACGAAAGGAGCCGACTGGATCTTGACAAAGAAAGGTGGGCCTTCAGACTGTGTATACGCTGGAGGAGCCCTCACTCAGGTCGAAGAATGGGGAGAAACGACTATCCAGGTCAAGACTCCGACAGGAGAAGGACAGATGAAGCTTACATGGGTGGCGTACATCCCTGGCTTCTTCACGAGCGTCGTTGGCCTATCACGGAGCCGATCTCTCGGCATCAACTTTGACTCAGGCAGAGACTGTCTATATCAAAAGAAGGCATCGAACGTGATCTGTCTACTCCAGTATAGAGCAGAGATGGCAACAAGCCGGCCAAGCTGCTATCAAGCCAAATGTGGCCCCTGCTTACTAGCCTTGTCGATCAACCACAGGTCTACAAGAGAACCGTGCCACCCCTCTATCTAGGTATAGCTATACCTATATATTCTAGGCCGCTAGTGAGCAGGGGCCACATTTGGCTTGATAGCAGCTTGGCCGGCTTGTTGCCATCTCTGGTATAGAGACGGCCACTGGCTCGTCGACGTGGAGAAAGACAAGAAAGTTGAGCTGGATCTACTCTCTACGTACGCGACTCGATATACCAAGCCCTCAAAGGAACCGAGGAAGGATCTCTCAGTCAGTCAAGACACGGCTCATCGGATGTTCGGCCACATCAGCCGAAAAGCAGTTGGGCACTTGAACGATCATGTGATCGGAATCAGTGTTGAGGAGCAAGCAATTGCCCCTAAATGGACAGACTGTCACGTCTGTATTAAAACAAAGCTTCACAAGTTTGTAAGCAGAGGAGCTCAAAGTAAGCCAGCTGAACAGCCGTTCTACCGAATAGGAATGGACTTAGTGCATAGACTCCGCAACAATCAATTCAATCCGGTCACTCTCCTAGACCCACTTACCTATCTAGGTAGGGCTTAAACTCCTATAGGTAACTACTAGGCTTAAAGCGGTAATCAATCAATCCAATCTGAACCTTCTAGGACCCACTTAATTGATTGTTGCGGACTGTGTTAGTGCAGCTGAGAGAAAGAAACGAGCGCTGCTATAATGGAGACCTATGGATGCTTCACGCAGTGTGTCAGTATAGCAAGTGGCATGAGGTATGCTGCCTAGCAGACAAGAGCTCAGGCACCCTTAAGCGCACAGTGGTGCGTCTATTGGCTAAGATTAAACGCCAGTTCGGCGCAGTCGTGGTGGTCGTGAAGCTTGACAACGAGCGCGGCTATAGCGAGTTGCTCTATGTGCTTAAAGATCTCGGTATTATTATAGAACCCCGAGCTGAGTACACAGAGGAGCAGAACGGCCTATCAGAACAGGCCGGAAAGATGATCGTGATCCGAGCGAGAGCGATCAGGATTGATGGACTACCAATGGAGCTCTCAAATGAGTGCTGCCTAGTAGCAGTCTATCTACTCAACAGAACACCCATCGAATCACTCGGATGGAAGACTCCGTACGAGGTTGTACGTGAACAGAAGCCATCGGCAGCTCACCTCAATGTTGTGGGAGCACGAGCCTACGTGCTAAACAACAAGCTGAAGCGTGGAGAGAAGCTCGAATCTCGCGCGCTGATGGGACAGCTGGTTGGATATGACTCCACGAATATATACCGAGTATGGATGCCAGCATTAGGACGAGTTCTCAGGACGAGAGACGTCGTCTTCATGTCTAATGATGGAACTGAGCTTGTCTACCCAGATCGACAGACTTTGAGAGAGGTGGTGACGATACTGGACGTTCCAGAACCACTAGAGGAAACCGATCAGGAGATAGAAGCGCTCCTACAGTCGGCACAGAGAGACTGGAGTGGTCCGAGCCGGTCCGAGCAAGCCGCTCGAACAGACCACGCCAAGGATACGCCTCGGACGTTGCCAACACCTGAGAGCACTCCAGAATCGATGCCTGAGCCCGAGTCCGAGCCCGAGCCCGAGCACGAGCCCGAGCTGGAAACAGTCGAGATGCCGCGAGGCTGGGAGACTATACCAGCCGAAGCAGAGGCACCAGATCGACGATTGAACAACGCTCCAAGACGTGAGGAGATTAGCGGTCAGGTTAGTGAGTCTAACGTTTTGACGGGAAAAAGACAGAGGAAGACGCTCGGCACGTACTTTATTGCGTTCGCCGAAGCACTTCAGCAAATAGAGCCACAGAAATCACGGCTACACAGGGATGAGCTTCCACCTCCGCCAAAGAGATGGAAAGACCTAGAGAAGCACCCTTTTGGATAGGAATTTAAAGCGGCAGCAGCGAAAGAATTCAAGAGCTGTCGTGAAAAGGGCTGCTTTAAGACAATGTCAGCCACAGTGGGTGATAGCCAGAGATTGCCCTTGATGTGGGTATTCACGTACAAGTTTGATGAAGACGGACTTCTGTGTAAGTACAAGGCTCGGCTTGTCGTGAGAGGAGACCTCCAGGAGGACTGGGGCGACACGTACGCAGCCACGCTGGCCGCACGAGTGTTCAGATTCCTCATGGCTCTCACGGCAGCCTTTGGCCTGAAAGCATATCAGTATGATGTGCTAAACGCTTTTTTGAACGCACCTCTTGAGAAGCTAGTCTACGTAAAGACTCCAGATCCGTACATAGAAGAGCTTGGCAAGATACTCGAACTTAAGAGAGCTCTTTATGGGCTGAAAGACGCGCCTCTTCTCTGGTACAAGCACCTAAAGGAGACGCTAATTAAGTTGGGTCTGAAATCAGTTAAGGGCGTTCCTTGCTTGTTTACCAACGAGAGACTGGTAGTCTTCTGTCGAACTACAAAAAGGCCGACCTTCCTGCAGTTGTAGCATGAAGGTATATATAGTGGATAGTCTGACATCTTCTTCTATGTTGATGATATCGTGGTACTGGTACATCCGGATCACCTTGATGATCATCAGAAATTTGAGAGACGACTGGAGGCGGTATACGACCTGAGAAAGCTCGGAGAGCTCAAGTGGTTCCTTGGGATCAGAGTTCTGAGAGACTGGACAGCAGGAACGATCTGGTTAACACAGGACTCATTTATTGAGAAGGTAGTTAATAAGTATGATTTAGATCAGAAGTCTGGAGGGAGATATCCAGCAGTTCCACTTGTGGAGAACTCCCTGCCCCAGACTAGAGAGGATACAAATCACCAGCGTACTCAGCTGTACCAGCAGCTAGTCAGATCGCTGGCGTACATCTCGACATTCACGAGACCGGATGTGGCACGAACCCACTCAGTACTGGCCCGGCATCTCCAGAACCCTGGGCAGAAGCACGTATCGGCGGTAAAGCATGTCTGGCGATACCTGTATGGAACAAGACATCTGGCGATCAGAGCTAGTCAGTAGATAGCAGAGAGCTCGTCCTACATCTGGGACAAGTCTCTCTTCTATGGAGCATCTGATGCAGCGTTTGCTGATGATGTGGAAAGTCGTCAATCATCTCATGGATATTTGTTCAAGCTCTGTGGGACAGACTTGTCATCAAGCAAATCAAACAAACTTTGTACACTAATTTGGTTTGTTTGTACAAACTTAGTGTCAGATTGTGATGGGTTATCAAAGACGGGGATAATAGTATAATAATATGATGGGGATCGATTGTGTTGTTCTGGTCTGATGTCGTGTTGTGTTGTTGTCCAACGCTGTTCGATCAATTGGGTCGCGGTGGATTGTGCGCGCTGACTAATTTAACTGATTCACAGAATCCACAGCTCCAAACACCCGGATTTTGTCCACCACCCAAAATATGCCCATATTCTGACACTTAGAGTTACATTTGAATTGTTTAGTTTTGTCAGATTAGATAAGATATTGCACAAAAGTGATGGATGTTCATGATTGATCGGTTCTTGTGTCTGTTCTAAGGTGCGCGCTGAGAGTTTTGTTCTGCTAAGACGCTAACCCGTTATTAGCTAGCGGTGTCGGCACTTTCGGCTCGACACGCCTGCTATCTGACAAGTTTGATAGTGTTTTAGGAGACTGTTTGTTTGAAAGTTTGATAGATTTGATACCGTTTAGGTGCTAATGTAATCGTACCTCGTACAAATTACTAAGCTTCGCTGTCCCACTTGCATATCTAGTATATTGTGTCACGGCGCTGGCTGGCAAGGATGCGCCAAGACCTACTAGGCGCTGATTGGCTGCACAGAATCCGGGTGCGCTAGCGCACCCGGATTCTGTGAACAAAACCTTCGAGACCTATCTAATAGTAGCTCCTTGAGCTACGTCCTGTCCTTTACCTGACCCTATACTTTCTGTCGAGACGCGGTGAGAGCCTTCACTAGTATTCACGGTGAATCAGGCTTCCCGTGCTCTGATTGGCCAGGCACTGATTAGTCAGCTGCTCCGTGCGCGCACCATAGATATTCTCCCTTCTCCCGTAGCTCCAATACAACAAGTTCACGCACGTTTTCTCCACCTTCATCACTTTCGGCTATACGTAGTGAATATACTGATTACGTGCATCTATCTTACCTGCCTACCGCTCCCCGTGACAATTTGGTGGTTGTTGAGATATCGAGTTGCCAAAACTTAGCTTTTTGGTGTGTTTTTGGGTGCGCATTTCGATGGTGTGCACATCTCGATAGTGGGGCACGTTAACTAGGAATGCATTCTGTTCGGTGATTGTTCTTATTCATTGTCCACGAACATAGCTGCTACGAAGGTATACCTAAGCTCAGCGCAAGTTGGGCCGAAGTCGGGCCGAAGTGTTGAGCAGCCGACGTCCCTACCGATACTCACGATCCGACAGTTGTTTTAATTTTCCGGTTTTACCGGGTGTATGAGAGCCAGAACCGTGCATCCGCTGAACCGAAACACTAGTTAAGCGAACATGTTCCGAGAGATAGGGTAATCGTTTCATTATTGCTTCTTTCCGGTAGCCGGGGATTGAACACATTTTTAGCGTATGTTGGTAGGCCTTGTACGATCGTACGGGGTGAATAACAACAACGAGGTTCTTCTGGTGACTGGTATTGGTATTGATTTTTCTACGAACATAGCTGCTACGAAGGTACACCTAAGCTCTGCGCAAGGTGGGCCGAAGTCGGGCCGAAGTGTCAAGCAGCCGACGTCTCTACCGATACTCACGATCCGACAGCGTATCATATAAAAAAATGCAGAGCTCCAGTACTCTTAAGTCGCATACATTCAGGTCGCATCCACGTCTTTTCAAGTTTCGAGATCATTTGCGCCAAATCGAACCTGAGCTCTCTTGACACTCTAACGGTCTACAGTACATCGGCTTGAAGCAAAAGGTTCAAGGTTAGTCCATAAGCATTTCTTGTTTAATTTTTAATAACTAATAAAAAACCTACAGTGATTGTATCTTTCAATTTGCCTATGTCAACTAATTATCAAGACAAGTTATCCATGCACTTAGATGCAGTGGTTGTTGGCGCTGGCTTCAGCGGGATTGCATCTTTGTATCGCTTGAGGAAAGCTGGATTAACAGTTAAGGCTTTTGAAGCTGGTCCTCGCCTTGGGGGAGTCTGGCACTGGAATCGCTACCCAGGAGCTCGGGTTGACGGCGAGTACCCTTTTTATCAGCTTAATATTCCTGAGGTTCAGCAAGGCTGGGATTGGGAGTTCAAATTCCCTGACCGAAAGGAGCTGGCTGGATATTTTGACCATCTTGACAAGATCCTGGGCCTTAGCAAAGACACGTATTTCAATTCTGAGGTCACAAGTGTTCGGTACAATGTTGTTGAAGGACAGTGGACCGTGAAGGCAGGGCAGCGTACTGCAACTTGCAAGTACCTAATTTTGGCTGCAGGTGCTCTTCACCGAGCTCATCGCCCGGATTTTCCAGGACTCAGCAATTTCGCAGGTCAGGTCTACCACACGGCATCTTGGCCCGAAAACATCGACCTCTATGGCAAAAGAGTGGCTGTGATAGGTACGGGTGCTACCGGCGTCCAAGTCATACAGGAACTATCAAAGCAAGTCGATTACCTCTTGGTTTGCGTGAGGAACCCTAGCTACTGCCTTCCGATGGTTCAAAAAAGGGTTAGCGAAGAAGAGAAATTGGCAACCAAACCTAAACTTCAGGAAATCCTGGCAAAATGCCGCAACGACCCAGCAGGGTACTTTTCAGCGAAGAAACAAGGCAAAGTCTTTGATCAGACGCTCGAGGAACGAGAGGCTTACTGGGAAGAGTTGTGGTCCCAAGGAGGATCACATTTTGCCTCATCAAATTACAGCGATATCCTTACCGATCAAGCGGCTAACCTTGAGATATACAATTTCTGGGCCAAAAAGACCCGTGCACAAATGACAGATCCTGTAAAGATGGACATTGTCGCTCCCTTGAAGCCGCCGTATCCTTTTGGCGCCAAAAGGTGTGTTCAAGCTCAGGACTATTATAAGTGCTTAAACCAGGCAAATGTCGAAGTCATTAGCATCCAAAACTCACCTATCTCCGAATTCAACAGAAACGGATTTGTCACCGAGGATGGGACCCAGAAGAACTTTGATGTGCTGGTATTAGCAACTGGTTTTGACAGCTTTACCGGGTCGTAAGTACTCACTTTTGTCTCTTGTTACTAGATTCTCTGCCAGAGTTAATTCTAAATATCTAACTAGGCTTACCACTATGGGCCTACAAACAAAAAATGGGATTGACATACAGGAATTGTGGAAGGATGAGGTTAGAACGTACCTGGGAGTCTTTGTTCCCGGTCTTCCCAATGCCTTCCTAATATATTCACCTCAGGGTACGTGATAGCCAATAATCTAGTTCGAGATGAATGAGATAGCTAATATATATTGTGTGACAGCGCCTACGGCATGGGCAAACGGGCCGACCATTATTGAATGTCAGGCTGATATAATGCTGTCAACCATTCAAAAGCTCGAATTAATGAACGCAAAGTCTATAGAACCAAAGGAATCGGCAGAGGCCGAGTGGAGGGAAGAACTTGAGCGCTTGATTGAACCTAGATTGAGTCGGCACACTAAATCCTGGTTCAACGGAGGGAATATTCCTGGGAAGAAGGTGCAAGTACTCACCTATAATGGCAGTTTTGTTTTATACGAGAAAACATGCTGGGAGGCACTTGAGAGTTGGAAAGGTTTTGACATAGTCTTAAATGACTAAGAGGCAGGGAAGGTGGAGAAACCTGTTATCGGTTGTTTATGAAGTTGTGTTCCCTTGTCTATCCCCCCTCCTCCCCCCCAAAAAACACTTGCTCCACTAAAACTGGGCTGAGAGCAGTAAATTTAGTTCTTTTGAGTAGTCGGAAAATAGGTTGTCCCTCTTAACAATTGCAAATCAAGTTTCGAGCTTCAAGAACTGTTTTTTAGTGTTGTCTCTCGTTACTGTAGTGGCTGCTGGTAGCTGTGGCTGAGTTGTTCTGCTTAGTTACGTGATAGGTCATCTGAACGTGTGACAGCTCTAAGGAAGTCAAATCTAGGAGAACTCTGATCTATTGACTACGAACAGAGCTACTATCTAAGTACATGGAAATGTGTCGCTGAGACGTGCAGAATTGGTCGGAAGCGATCAAACAATGGAAAATTTTGGATATGGGAGGATCAAGCAGACATGAGGAAGAAGGTTGTTGTATTGAGAGAATTACATGAAGCTGTCGGATTGCAGATGTTAATCACGGGCCGCGTCGGCCCTACTTCGGTCTGACCCGTACTAACCCGCGTATATCTTCATAGCAACCGAGAGATAGAACAAAAAGAATAATCACCGAACAGAATCCATTCCTAGTTATGGTTATTTCCCTTTTCGCACTTAGTGCAAAGCCAACCAACAGAAGCGATTATATACACGACTAAGATGAGTAAGCAGGTGACGAGGAGTCACGTGAGATACAGTTTACAGTATACTAGGTGAACCGAGGTGCTAGGCTGACAGAAAATTCTAGCAAACAACAATCTGATGGCTTAGAGATAGAAACACCATGAAGCAATTCACGATACCAGTGAGAAACTCGGGAAACCAACGGATACCGTCACAGTTGTAACTAGTACGACCACTTTTCAAACTGAAATCCCTACATACAACAAAGGACTACAAATATTTGGTAATTCCTACTGGCTTACAAAAGACTGGAAGAACAAGCAAAACAGCTCTATTGTTATTGCTTTTAAAACAGAAGCTGAAGCAAAGAAACTAGGAGCGAGGATCATTATCCTTGGAGAGAGCCTCCGCACTGAAAAGTATAGAAGTATTCCAGCTACTACCCAATGCGACAACTGCCAAGGCTTTGGCCATACAAAGCTTAAATGCCGGAACCAAACAGCATGCCAGCTATGTGCGGGGACCCACCCTACATCGCAGCATAAATGCTCCACCTGCACGACAAGTGGGAAGCCTTGTATCCATACACTCCCAAAATGCTCAAACTGCAAAGAACCTCACTTTGCTAATAGCAGAGACTGTGAAGTCCTCGCAGCTATAACAAACAAGGAGAACCAATATACAACAGAATGTTAGACAGCATTAAGATCCTCCAAGCGAATCTGAATAAGAGTATCCAGGCTACAGAGTCTACTCTTCAACTAGCTGTCGAACTAAGGGTTGATATAATTGCAGTCCAAGAGCCTTGGCTCACACCAACAAGAAACAACGACTACGCTGATACTAGGTCCACTAGCCACGCAGCATACCTCCAAATTCTCCCACAATCCGAACCAAAACTCCGCCCTAGAGTGCTATTCTATATCTCTAGAACGCTATTAGCAGAAACCTACCTACTAGAAGGTTTCACGTCAGATCCAGACGCTATAGCACTAGTAGTACAGAAAGGAAACCATAAGTTTAATACATAGAAGGCAACAATCAAATCAAACAAATATGAGGCTCATAATTTATTTGTTTGACGTTTTCCTAGAGTCATGATTGATTTGTTTGTTATTTGATAATTTTTCTTGTATTTGATTTGGTGTTTGATTTGGTGTTTGATTGTTTGAAGATCTATTCTAATGGTTTATCCCACTCACAGAGGCTGTAGATGTGGTCAATCTCATCATCAGTCAGACGCTTTTCAGCTGTCCTAGGCGGTACTTTTACACCTACTTTTATCCATGCCCGTATACACTGAAGTGCAGCAAGTAACTGAGCTCCAATCTTCCGCCTTCGAGGCTCTAACAGATCACCAAGCTCACTAAACATGCGCTCACACTCGCAGCTACTTGCTGGTATAGTCAAAACGTCGATAGCAAAGCGGTGGAGATGGGGGTACTTGGAGCGTAGGCTCAGCCAATAGCGGATAGGATGGCCGTTAGTAGCAAATTGCTGGCTCGTCCACTTAGGCTCAAGGCGGCTCCAAAGCTCGTACTCATCCATGAGCTCGTTATCGCTGGAGTCGTCATCTGCAAGTGCTGCAATTGCGTCATCGATAGCGTTTGGCAGGCGAGCTTTGCGGTGTTTCGGGGAGGTAGCGACGGGCTTGTACGTTGCCCAAAGCTGCTGAAAATTCTGTTTTGATGAGCGTAGCCAGTCGCTTTTGTCGCGCCAGCTGCGCTCACAGTACCGCTTGTAGTATGGGTGTAGTGTAACAGCAGCGTAGTATACAACTGAGTCGTCAAGCTTTGAGTAGTACTCGTTAAGCTTTGCCCACGCGGCACGAAGATTGATAGCAAGGTGATCCTCAGGCGCGTTAGCTGCCTCGTAGTCGACGTGCTCATAAGATTTAACACGGGCCTCGTACTCGTTGAGTAGGTACTCAAACACTGGTATGACCTCGTATATTGCCCCAAAACGGCCAGCTTTTCCACGCCCCTCGAGCCGCAGCGTGGCCTCCTTCAGCGGCCGGAGCACTCCAATATACTCAGTGATCACCTGCCAGTCGCTAGCTGAAAGGCCATCAGATCTCATCCAAGTTGGAGCGTCAGACATCTTGTTGTTGTGTGTGCGAGCGTAAGAGTCTGCTGTTCGTGTAGCATCGATATGGTGGTTAGCGTACGCATTAACAGCGTGTTGGAGAAGAGCAGCGCGCTCAAAAGCGCTACAGAAGCTGTTCCAGCGCGTGGCAACTGGCTTAACAATATAGTTGGAAACGAAAGAGCAGACTACCTAGCAAAAGAAGCAACCAAAGAGGACCCCAGATCAACAACAAAGAGCATTGCCTACCTAGGCACGACAATCAAAAGGATACAACAAACGGAACAACGCCAAGAGTATGAGAAATACAAAGCAAGAGCAACCGCTCTAAACAAAGCTACCTACTCAGCCAAATACCCTCTTAAAATCAGCAAAACTATCCAAATGCCACAGAACACGAAAAGAGTAACCTCTAGCGCTTTCTACTCTCTTAAGCTAGGACACGGATACTTCAACTCCTACCTAAAGAGATTTAAGAAACGAGACTCTAACCGCTGCACCTGCCAAAACATCCAAACGCCAGAACACCTACTACTGTACTGTCATCTATACAAAGACCATCGAAAAACGCTCCTACAAACAATCAAACATCGCCCAGTCACACTACCACTACTACTCCACACTAGTATAGGTATAGAAGCAACCCTAGCTTTTATCACTAGCACCAGAATAGGAACAAGAAAATGGTACCTAGGACAGCCACCAGAAGACCTACAGAGAGACACTGTATAAAACTAAAACCACAACCCTCTCCTTTGCCACAAGAGCCCGCTGCTACATCTCTTTCTACTTATCAAACTGCTCTTTAGCACCTGGCAACAAACAGATACAAGCTATCTTTTGTAGAAAAGCCAAAAACCATATTAGCGAACCATACCAGAAAACCATGTAAATTAGAAAAACCAAGATAGAACGGCCTTCGGCCAAAGTCCTACATAGTCTCTGACTGAAAAAGGACTCTAATGGAATAATAATAATAATAATAATAATAAAATCCAAACTCCAGCACACCTACTACTAGAATGCCGGCGCTATAAAACAGAACGAAAAGAACTCAAACAAGCCATCAAACATACCCCAGTAACCCTACCCCTACTATTCCAAACCAGCACCGGCATAGAAGCTACCCTAGCTTTTATTACGAGTACTAGAATTGGAACAAGAAAATGGCACCTAGGGCAACCACCAGAAATACAGACAGTCACTGTATAACACTACCTTAGAGAGAGCTACTCTATAAAACTAACAAAACTGTTGGTAGGCCTTGTACGATCGTACGGGTGAATAACAACAACGAGGTTCTTCTGGTGACTGGTATTGGTATTGATCTTCTACGAACATAGCTGCTACGAAGGTACACCTAAGCTCTGCGCAAGGTGGGCCGAAGTCGGGCCGAAGTGTCAAGCAGCCGACGTCTCTACCGATACTCACGATTCGACATTGGAAGTCTTTTCTTTCTGGATAGCTAGTAACTCTGCTTGTATCGGTAGTGACAGTGTGTGTAGCATCAAACATCAAAGCTTGTCGGCCTCTGCACCCATCCATCTACTCGGACTGTCAGCTTGTTGCCGTCAATAAAGCGTTCAAGAGCGCGGTTTGGCGATGCCTTCGTGAAGGCGTCAGCAGGATTATCGTCACCATTGATCCAGCGGATCTCAGTGATCTCGCGACGCTCATATGATTGACGCAGCGCCATGATGTCGATCATAAGACGCTTCTCCTTCGTTGTTCCAAGCTTAACGAGGCACTCGTACAAGGAGTACGAGTCTGTACAGACAACCAAGGGAACCTCAGGTATCTAAAGTCGTCTGTGACTATCTTAAGGTAGATGCAATTAGACTCCGCAACAATCAATTCAATCCGGTCACTCTCCTAGACCCACTTACCTATCTAGGTAGGGCTTAAACTCCTATAGGTAACTACTAGGCTTAAAGCGGTAATCAATCAATCCAATCTGAACCTTCTAGGACCCACTTAATTGATTGTTGCGGACTGTGGTGGCAATAGCGATGCCTATATCAAAGCCGTTGACCATGCCATAAATCTCAGAGGCTAGTACGCTCCTTGTGACGCGCTTACATTTTGTAGAGCTGTAGTGGATTATGTTGCCTTGGATTGTGAAGGTGTTAGCGTCAATAGACTCGTTGACGAGCATGAGGACAAAGCCGAGCTGTGAGCTGAGGTCCTTGTTGTTGGCAAAGGAGCCGTCTACGAAGACCATCAACTTAGCCTCCGTGAGATTGACAGTGATGTAACGGAGGCCACGATCGAGGTTCTCTATCTGCCATTTCAGGCGCTTGTTGAGTGCCTTGATGTCCTCATCTGATGGTTGCTGCGCCTGAGCGGCGACGGACAGATCGAATGACGCCTCTGGTTGGCATGTTGATGCGATGTACGCTCCGCGGGCGCGCTGCTCTGTGTACTGTTGCGCGCGGTCGGGTGCCCTAATGTCCACAAGTTTGATCTTTCCTCCTTGTCCTTTCTGCCTAAGGTTCAGAATTGGTTTGCTAGCGTCGATCGTGAGTGTACATCCATTAAAATCCAATTGAATTTCTGGTGTAAGGACAGACTTTGGTTTCGATCTAAACTCTGCCTTCTGGATCTTTTTCTCTTCAAGTAACGAGAACGCGGGTGTCCCAAGCATGAGAGTGTCATCTGTTTGCATGCCAACGATGCCGAAGATGCTGGTGTCGCTGTTTGTGATTAACAGGCATGGGTCGTACGTAGATGTTGCCATGTCCAGTTCCTTGCAATGGTGCCCATGATAGGTTGTCCACCAGTGGACTCCTGCCTCTGCGATTCCATACAGTGGCTTGATCACATGGAGTAGCGTGCCCCTCGGATATCGTGGTACCAGCTCAGTAGGAAGATGTGCGAGTATCGTCCTCTTCAGGGTTGTCTGCGCCTGGGGATACGCCTGCGTGATATCACGGAGCTCTATGTTCATTCCGCGTTGTACCATCTCGGGCGCCAGCGACATGATCAGGCGCTGGCTGCATCGCTGGATGGTTGGAGATTGCGTCAAGATAGCCTCTTTGCCGTGGTCCTGGTAGCCTTGGATAACCAGGCGGGATTTCTCATAGGGCTTGGTTGTCTTTCCCTTGACCTCACGTACCAGGCGTGACTTGAAGATCCGGATCTTGCTGTGTAGCCTCTCGTCGTATTGCTCAAACTTGAAGACTCCACGACCTACGAGGTCGCTGATCTCTTGGTCATCAGATGCTTCAAAGGGTGCGCCTGGTGTTGTGATAACTCCATCGTTACGTAGCTTGATAGCTAGCTCAAGATCGTCCTGCTCCTTCTTGGTGATGTACGCGTGCCCCTTCCGCTTGTTCTTTGATCCTGGAGGGCGGCCTCTCTTGCGTGGTTGCACTGCCGGTGGTACTGCTACCGGCTCATGCGGCTCATTCAGCGCGTGTGGCGCATCGGGGTCGCTCCAAAGATGGTCCGGTCTGTAGTATGGCTTGACGACAGTAGATCTGAATGTTGTTGGACCATTGACCATATCGACAGTAACGTTGTGGCCGTCTATACTGGCGATCTTGTACGGGCCATTCCAGCCATCACTCTCTCTCCATACTAAGACTTCACTCTGGAGTGGGAGCGCGAGCATGTCTGCAGTGGCTGGTCCATTGCGGGTGTTCAAGGCGTCTGCAACTTGGCGCTCTGCAGTAAGCTTGCGCAGGGCTTTCGTCGCCTTTTGAATAGCCTCGCTGCGCCTAACCATTGAAGGTGCCGGCGGCGACTCTGTAGTCATTCGTGGGTATGCTCCAAAGACTAGTAGAGTCGGGACTAGACCATCGGGTCCAGCGGTGTCATTGACAGCTTTCACGGCCATTTGAAGGATCGCTTCATCAGACATATCGTCTTGGAGCTCGTCATGGAGTATATCCCATGCTCGGCGAAGTGGTGCGTGGTATCTCTCAGTCTTGCCCACCGACCAGTGAGCCTCTGTAGGCACCTGCTTGCATGTAACTCCCATGATCTTTGCCTCAGCACGGAACTCTGCGCTTGCAAAGTTGGTGCCTGCATCATGTGTGATGATGTCTGGTGGTCCTTGATACGTGTCGATCCATAGCATCCGCAGTGCCTGCCATGTCTCCTTAGCTGAGATAGCGCTGAGGAATTTTGCGCCTTGGAAAGCAGTTGAAGAATCAACCACATGTAATACTGGCTTGCCGCTGAGATACATCACATCCACCAGGATCTCATAGTTGAAGTGGTGATCATCCTTCAGAGTGAATTTGAATCGGCGCGGCGCGGAGCTGTGGAGCTGGCAGTGGTGGCAGAATTTAGTGACCTCCTCTAGGGTTCTCTCTTCAAAGTCGTTATGGCCAGCGTCCTTTAAGAGTTTAACTAGTCGCGTGACAGCTGGGTGTCCAAACCGGCGATGGAGCCGTCTCAGCTCTGTCTCAGTGAGAAACACCGTTGCTCTCTCTCTCTTGTTGAGATGGAACCATGGGTGTCCCCATTTGCGTAGAACAGGGATGCGTATCTTGTCCTGAACAAGCTCATCTGTAGTGTTATTGAAGTAGACTTTTAAGCGGTCCATATCTGCAAGGCACAGCAAGAACGGTGTAGGCGCCTCGAGCACTTCGAAGTTGATCTTCCCAATCTCTGTAGAGACCTGCACTGTTCCAATAGACGCTGTAGCCTCGCCTTTTCCGAATTTGATAGATGCTTTCCCAGCTGTAGATGTGTCTATCTTAACTGTTGGATCTTCTCGTGTGAGTGCAAGATACTGCTCTTTGCCAACTGTAGATACGTTGGCAGCGCCTGTATCCGGGAGGATACCTTGGTACAGAGATCGTGTATAGCGGTCCTCGAGCAGAAACTGCGACGCTGGTGCTGACGGCGCGCCTCGACCGTATATGTCGTCGCCAGAAATGTGATGCAAGAACGCCTGGTCTGCAAGGCATTGCTCCTTGAAGAACTGCTGCTCAAAGTATTGTTGTTCGCCAGTGCCGTCGTCATTGTCGTCATCCTCGCAGTCTTCCTCCTCTTTCCAGCCTCTCTGGTTATACTGGCTGGTGTGCTCAATTCCTTCGTACTCTGCAAGGTGTACTGAGAAGTCCTTGGGTGGTGGCGCACCTGTAAAATACAGCATAGAGAAGAACTGCGCACGGGCAGTCTTGCGCTCTTCGTCTGTGTGGTTTGTGGACCAGCATCCTTCCTTCTGGCAGACAAAGCACTTCTTCTTCCAGCGTGGCTTGAATCCACGGCTACTGTCAAAGCTTTGTTCGCCTTTTTGAAATGCGCCTCTAGTTCCGCCTCGGGACCCACCTCGGTTTCTTCCATTGCTGTTGTACCGGCGGTCTAAGTAGTACTGGTTACCTTGGTCTACCTCTGTGAAGTTGACAGAGGTAGTCATAGCGAGTGAGTTTTCAATCGAAGATCGTAGATCTCCAAATAGGACCTCGCATTCTAGAGACGGCCTGTAGAGCGCCATTGCGAACTCTTTAACGCCTCGACATGCTGTGATTACTGTGGTCCGGAGCGCATATTCTCCCATATACTGCTGCCCAAGCGCCCTCTGGCATAACTGGAGTTTGTCTAGCATAATGTCAAGGACCTCATGGAGTGTCTTGTCAGGATTCTCCCTATGGACTTTAGCAAAGGATGTCGTCGTCCAGTCTGCATAGTAGTGACTGTGGTCGACGTCCGTGTCGAAGTGGTTCTTAAGCTTCGTGTATACAGTCAAGAATGTATCTGTCCGCTGATCAACGAAGTGGAGGTAGTAGTCTTGCGCACGGCCTTCCAGGATCCGTGGAAAGACTGCATGGAATTGGTCTGGCTGGATGTCTGCGTGATAGCAGATGCTGTAGAAGATCTTCAATTTGTCGTCTAGGAGGTCGTACGGCTTCCCTGTGTATTTCTTCTCACGATCCCACATCTTTGTAAAGACATTGATTGTCTTCGGATCTAGTTTCCCATTATTAAACTCGATTGGGGGAACTGCCTTGTATGGGTCTGTATCCCCTGAAGGTATAATTGGAGGGACGCTCGGTCCCTTTGGGCGTTGTGGGTATGCTGGCGTGTATTCGCGGAATCTGTCAAAGTTGTTGTACGTTAAGCGAGGTTGATGACTTTGCTGTCGCTGGTCCGCCTGGTGTCGCCCGTCTGCCTGTGGTGTCTGTTCAATTGTCTCTACAAGCGGATCTGCTAGTTGTTGGCTGACCTGGGTACGGGTGCGGGTCTCGTCTTGGACATCGGTTTGTTGATCCTCTGCGTCTTGGTCTCTTGCCCTTGCAGAGGTTTGGCTCTGCGCTCGACTCGCTGTCCCTACGTTTGTAGGTTGTACCGATCCCGTAGTGTGTCGTCCTAGTAGCCTCCGCTGTTGCAGCATATACGCCGCTGACCGCTCGTCGAAGGCAGTAGATTGGAACTGATCGTCCGGCCACTTCGGACAATCCTCCTTGTGCAGTAGCTTGGCCACAGCTTCGCTTGGCGGCATGTTAACACGGCCAGTGTACACGCCCTTAAAGCGGAGGATCCGCTTTAGTTCCTTAGTATACGTTGCATGCGCGCGCATAAACATAGCTTCAGTCCAGCCTTCAAGTCCTGACAGA